CTTTCATCAAAATCGGACATTGTAATCTTATCTTTTCATAATCCGAACACCTAAACATAAAGTGTTCCAAGGAGTCAATTTCCCCACAATCACAACAATTAGAATTAACCAATTTAAACCTGCACAATTTCTCACGGAAATCACCATGACCTGACAACACCTGAGAACTGAAATAATCAGGTGACACCCAGCGTGCTCGCAATCTACTCTCAACAGATGGAAAATAATATGAAGTTATTTTTCCCCTACCTTCATTTATTCACCGATCATTCCAAATACGATTCATTTCAGTAACAATCCCAAAATACACCTCTTGTCTACTATACCTGCGAAGACCTGTCCTGTATTGAAAGGAACCCACTTGAAAACTAATATTACTTCTATATAATGAACGGTAAAACTCATTCATCACTTCTAAATCCAAAGGAAGTAAACCTGTCATTATCTGTAAGGCAGGAGTTGAAACTGTCCGATAAGCTCTGGCAATAATTATTTACGCTATACGTTGTGCTTGTTGCAACTTACGCCTTTGAAGGGCCCCCAGCACCTCGCCCCACACACCAGCAGCGTAGATCACTATCGGCACAAATAAAGATCTATACAGAATACGCAGGGCAGGCAGCCGAAGCCCCACCCCACGCCTGCCAGTCCTTGTAACTTACAAAACTGTGTCACTGCTCTACGGCAGACCCCATCTATATGTGGTTGGAAATACGTGCCCGCACCCAGGGTCACCCCCAGGTAGCGGACCGATCTCCCCATCTTGACGGGAGTGCCCATCATACGTGTACTGGGGGGACGATTCGAGCTAAGGGACCCCTTCAACATTACCATCACTGTTTTATTAAGTGCAATGGTCAATTTAATATCATCTAGCCAGGCACTAAGGAACTTCAAAACTTCCTGTCCTTCAGCCTCCAACTGTCTCAGAGTGTTACCCTCCAAAACCAGGACAAGGTCGTCCGCATACACGACAAATTTAACTCCCCTATTTCTTAACCTGATTAAAATCTGATTAAAAACATATTTCCAAATTTCTGGTCCAAGAATAGATCCCTGTGGACAACCCTTACTTGTCCATTTATACCTCACTAACGATCCATCCACATATATTACTTTTCGTTAACTAAAATAATCTACAATCACTCTAAAAATATCCCCAGGACAACCATGCTCTCGAAGACACTTCAACGCACTGGGCCACCAGATGTTGTCAAAGGCCCCCGCTATGTCAACAAAAATACCCAAAACATATTTATAACTTGACTCCTCAGTCTACCTATGCAGGAGGCGTATTGCATCAACTGTAGATTTTCCAGGAACAAAGCCGAATTGCCAATCATCTATACTCTGATTCATAAATTTACCTATCCTATTCTTCAGTAACCTTTCAAATACTTATCCTAAAAAGGCCAATAAACAAATCGGCCTATAGGATTTAATTTCTGATCTATCTTTTTCCTTTCCCTTTAAAATCACCACTAACTTCCCAACTTTCCATTCTTTAAGGAATACACCAAATTTTAAACAACTATTATATAATCTTAATAATTGCAACTTAACAACGGGCAATGCCTGCCTCACTATCTCGAACGTTATATCATCTAACCCTGGTGCCTTTCTTCCCTTTGACTTATTAACAGCCTGTAAAACTTCACGTAATGTGAATTCCTCAGAAAAAATACAACTAATATTACGCACATAATTATCATTATCCGTACGAACTAAACTTTGCTCCTCGGACAGATTTTCCTTATCATCATTAGGAAATAAAATGTCCAGTATTTTTGAGATAACTCCTTTCCAATCTATTATAAACTTATCTCCCACTTTTACAGCACTCAACAACTGCTTAGATTTAACCTTCTCGAAAACAATTTTATAAGGGATACCCCACACATTTCTAATATTCAATCCGTGAACATAGTTTCTCCAACTATCTACCTTAGCTTTCCTCACTTTATTTTTATACATTTTATTTATCCGAGAATATTCCTGAAACTTAATATTTCTAAGAACCATATCATGTTCACGTTGATATCTCCTCCTATCTCTTAACACGTCCTTTCTCAACTGATCTAACTCCATCGTCCACCATACGGGTACTACCTTCTGTAAATGTTTAGCCTGCATAGCTACCCCAATTGCCTGAGCCAATGCACCCTGAATAGTCCGACATAAAAACATAACATCTTTACACTCCACAACTAATGTTTTATTAACATTCAAATACTTTTCTACTATCCTGCGAAACCTAATCCAATTTACTTTTTTCCGCATCACTGTCAATACCTATTACTATTAATTAAACCAAAAGATACATTATAAAACAGAACAGCATGATTGCTTGTAGAGAATTCATGTGTAACCTCACACTCAGATATCATTGAGACTATATCACTATTAACAGCCACCACATCAATAAAAAAACTACCTCGCACTGAAATAAAAGTTGGCACTTCTGCTGCGTATTTATAACCACATAACCCCATTTTCCTAAAACCGACATTAATTGCTCACCTTGTTCATCTAACTTATCCGATCTCCAAAGAGGAGATTTAGAATTACCATCTAACCCAATAAGAACATCTTTACCATTTAAAATAGATAAAACACCCTCTAACTCTCTCAATGATATCTCAATCTCCCGACTAGGGGGAAAAAAATACATACTAACTAAATATATAGAATAGTCTTCATACAAAACTTGTGCCACTGCACAAGTCCCAGTAGACAAATTCGTTAACTCTAAAACAGTTAAATCTCTATTCCAAATAACAACAGCGGCCCACAGTGTTTCAACGAAACTCTGTACCACCCTTGTATTAAAACCGAACCCCACTAACTTTCCTTTGTCCACATATGGCTCTTGTAAAAGTAATATATCTATCCCCCTAGTCTGAGTTAAGTGTGACAATTCTGCTGGCATAGAGGCCTTTCTCTGCATATTAACTTGTGCAATTCTAAGACTACTATTATTCAATATGCTATCCATAATCCACTCCCTGTTTGTATCGTGATATCATCGCTTGATATGAAAGACATTCTCTAGCCTTAACCACATGAGTAAAAGGTCTCCCCATCTTCTTACATGGCAAGCATACCCTGATTGATACCTCCTCAGTACAATCCCTACCTCTATGACCAACCGAACTACACTTATGACATACATCTTGATCATTTCGGCAATTCCTAGCTAAATGGCCAAACAATTGACACTTAAAGCATCTCGTTATCTTATAATAGTCCCTTATTGGACAACTTCTATATTCTATAAATAATCTTGTCAAAGACAATAATATTTTACGTAAACTTGGAAAAACTTCTACAATCCAATTAACTAGATATTTCCTTCTTCTCCCAACTCGATAAGCTAACTTAAATTCCTTATTAAATTCCTCTATATCCATATCTTCCATACCTTGAAATAAGTCAACATTTAGGGAAAAGATTACACTAACCAATTCTTCCTCTATCAAATCCTTCGGGACATTAATCAACATCATCTTCGGCCTATGTTTAATAGGACTATATACCTTTAACCCAGTATTACGAATTTCTATATTCTCCATTACTCTATTCTTATCTTGTTCCGTAGCTAAAGTAACAACCAATCCATTATCTCTAGTTTTCCTTATACCTTGTATACGAATTAAGTCCTTACCTGGATCTATAGCTGACAAAAATCGTTGCTTAACAGTACTACTATCCTCCTCGTCTTCTCCTTTAACCAAAACTACATTTTCCTTACTACTTTTTGTTGGTACAACCTCCTGTATATCTATTCTAGTTTTATCCGCATAAGATACATGTCCCATACTAACCTCTTTTAATCTATCATCCTGAACTACTAACTTACCTTTCAAATGTTCATTTTCTACTACCAATGAGAAAACTATTCCTCTCATTTCCGCAAACAAATCATTTAAACCTCGAACTACAGGTCGACTTAATCCTGCATCTTTTTGCAAACAGATCTTATTTACATCACCTATAATACGACTAACTCTTTCTAATACCTCCATCGAGTCTCCTTTTAAACCTAAATTCATCATTTGCTCCACACTAATATCAGAAACTCTACTTTTCCTTCTACCCTTCAAATGCGAGCCAGGAAGCTCCGCTCCTCCACCTAGCGCTTGTACTCGTGTATTCTTTTTCTTATCACTACCCATTATCAAAGAGAAAAAATAAACACCAACCCCCAGACACAAGTGTTTACCGGATCTTTTTTGCCACCACGATCACCAGGCCGCTCCAAGGGGCATCCGAGAGGATCAAAGGCAGGCCCCGTGGCCTCGGAAAAGGCCCCCGCGCCCGTCTAAAGGGTCCTGAACATGGCGCCGATTATGCACTTTAAACAGACGCGAGATTATGCACTGCCTGATCGGGGCTGCCCGCGGATGTGGGCTAGACCTTGCCGGGCCCCTCACTATGCGGCGCCCCAGGTGCGCTACCCCCAGTTTTTGATCTATATCCTCGGGATCTGTCTTCAATCCTCTACCGCCGAGGCAACGGTTCTAACAACCGTGATGACCTCCAACACCCGGCTCACACCTGAGTCCCCCGCCGCACCATTAGCTTCCTCAGGACACATACCATTACAGCATGTCCCCTGGGTACTGAGCCCCTCTGCCACGACAAGGCTGGTACATACGAGTTGGGGCCATTGCCTGGTTTGGGCACAAGCAATGGACCCCCATTTAGAGGAGAGTAGATAGGGACATTCATTTTTTTTTTCATTCATTAGGAAAATCATCATTTCCCCTTACGGGGATCAGAGTACACCCCTGCTCCGCTTAGCACTGCAGGGGGTTTCCTAATCTTTATTACTAGTGAACAGAGTACGTACAACTATTGAGACATCCAACAAAAGTAAAAACGTTACATGGTATTACATTGGTGCGTAATTGCAGATTAGCTTAAATTGAGGTGGCCACTTGCCACCAGAGGTCGGGGAGACTTATTCCCAATCCTCCTGGTCCTTTTAAAAGGTCCTTTTAAAAATAACTCCGATTTCCAAAGGTCCTTTTAAAAATAACTCCGATTAGCCTACGAAACTCTGCGTAAACATCCTTATTCCGTATTATATGGTAAAGGTTCATTGTCGTATTCGGTTGGTTGAACATGAAAACACATTCCATTTCGTGTCTAAGTAATGCGTATTTGCTACACTGAAAGATTAGATGCTGTATGGATTGGCAGTCTGCTCCGCACTCACACCTATCATTAGGATGTTTGTTGATCTTATGTAGATAGGCGTTGCATTTTGCATGCCCAGATAGCATTTGCGTCATGACAAAATCTATGGACATCCATTTTAACTCCCCAAGTCTTTCTTCTATATTGGGCAGAATTTCGTAAGTATTTCTTCCTTTGGTGGAGTCAGACCATCTAACTTGCCACCGCTTTCTCATGCTGTCTCTTATTTTCTTTTTTATATATGCCCTGGGAAGTATGTTGAAATCCGTGGACTCATTATCAGCTGCATCCTTAGCCAGGGCATCTGCCCTTTCGTTCCTGACTAAGCCAGCATGTGCCTTAACCCATCTAAATTTGATGACGCCTCTCCCTTGGCATCTTTTCAGCATGCCCTTGATATCAATAGCCATCTTATTATCATCTTTATACTGTTTCAGTGTATCCAAAGCAGTCCTGCTATCTGTACATATAGTAACTTGTTCATCCTGCAATGATTCCACGAAGTACCTGACAGCCTCTTTTAAAGCCAATAGTTTGGCCTGGAAGACCGTACAATTGTTGTCTAATTTAAACTGCATGAAGGCCCGTTCAGCCCCTTCCACGTAGACCACAAAAGCTGCCCCAACACCTTTATCGCTCTTCGACCCATCAGTGTATAACTCGATGGATCCATCTATGTTCTCATCTATTTCTGTAATGATTAGTCTTTCAGGCGGGCTGTAGAGTTCAGATAGAGTCGGTTTGACGCAGTAAGAGCCCATCATGAATGTATCGTTACCAACTCTGATAGTTTTTCCTTTTCTGACCCTGTAATGTTGGGCCTTTTCGTGAATTGCTAGATCTAGTGGCATAACACCGCAGATAACCAGAAGTGCATCAGTTGATATAGTCCTGAAGGCCTTTGCCAGCCGTAGGGCTGCGTGCCTCTGAATCGTCATAAGGGTCCGCTTATTGCGAACCTTGTCCACTGCAGCGTGCCAAACACTAGCTGCATAAGTGACTTTAGGTATAAAGACAGCCCTGTAGATTTCTTTGATTGCTGCCGAATCCAATCCCCAATCCGCCTTCGCCACCCTGGCCAGGTGGTTGAAGATGATATCGCTCCTACTTTTAAGCATGGAGATATGCGGGCCCCAGTTAAGATTCTTGTCAAGTACTACTCCAAGGTATTTCATGGATGGTACAATCCTGATGGGAATCACTGTCCATCCTGATCATGGGAACCCGTTTATAATGGTCCGTTTCTCCATGTCTGTGAAAGACCATGCCCTGAGTCTTTTTGGAGTTGAATTCCAATTTAATCTCTTTCCCTATGTCAGTGTCTTTATCAAGAAGAGCAGTGCCTTTTGTTTCAATTTCTCTCCTTGAATTTGCTCCAAAAATCAGCACCGTATTATCGGCGTATGCATACTCAATAGCTCCCTTATCCCTCCTAAGGAAGTTGTCGTATAGTGTGTTCCAAAAGAAGGGGTCCGAGTTCGACCCCTGTGGGCATCCTCTGTTGATTGTTCTTGTGACGGTAAGGTTACCGTGTTGATAGCTGACGCTACGGTTAGAGAGGTACCCCTTTACTAGGTTGTATAGGTTCCTCGGGCAATGCCATTGCCTAAGATTTAAGAGGATCTGGGCTCACCAGGCGTGATTAAACGCCCCTTTGATGTCTAAACTCAGCAAGCAACAGTACTTAAAGTCAGAGATGGTACGCCGAATATCATCTAACACAAGGCAGATCACATCCTCTGTGGATCTTCCAGGCAAAAAGCCAAACTGCTTTGGGCTTAATAATTCCTTGATAGTTACTTGGTATATCAGCCGTTGAACAATTAGAAAGTCTAGAACTTTGCCCATTGCAGGAAGGAGGCTAATTGGCCGATAGCCACCTGCGTCATCCATGTTCTTGTCTCCGCCTTTAGGAATGATGACTAGCTTTGCCTGCTTCCAGCGATCCGGAAAAACACCATGATCCAGGCATGCATTATAGATATCCACCATTGTGTCTGGGATCATGTTCCAAATATTGTGGACAATTTCACTTGTTATATCGTCGTCACCAGGAGCTTTTCCTTTTCCCAGATGAAACACTGCATCCTTAACCTCATCATACGTGAATCTGGGCGCATCAGTCTCAATGTATTCATCCTCTATTTGCCCACGCACTGCTAGCTGTTCAGCTGTATCCTGGTCAATGTCATCAACAGGAAAGAAGCGATCTAAGAGTGCATTGATGGTACTCTCAGTATTCATAGTGAAACTATCGGCGACTTTTAGACTGCAAAGAATGTTAGTCGATTTCAATTTCTCAGTACAACTCTTGTAGAGATAGCTCCAAGGCTTATTAGAGCTAGCTGTGCAGAAGTTTTTCCAAGACGCCAGCTTGGTTTCTCTGATGGCATTTTTGTATTTTCTTTCAAACTCTTGATACCTCTTGTACTTTCTATTTCGTTCGTTTAAAAACCGTGTACGTTGATACTGCCTTCTGAGACGGTTGTTTTCCCTTCTTAGTGCCGTAAGCTCGTCGGTCCACCAGGGTACCGCCCTATCTCTTCTTCTCCTAGGGATCGTCTCGTTGCAGGTATCTTCTATGCATTGAATGACTGAGGATAACCTCTGTATTGCAACTGTACTATTATCTATATCCTTTAGACTAATTGTATCGATTTTGTTTTTAAGTTCAGCTTCAAACTTATTTCAATCAACCTTTTTCGTGTCATATTTAGTACATCCTTCTTCCACGTTCCCTGCTATTCCTAGGCTGTAGAAGATATACGCATGATCACTTAGGCTGCTGTATCCAGATACGTTCCATCCTGTAGTTGATCTCAAAGACCTGCCATTACAGCAGGTAATGTCCACCCAACTCTGCCCGACCGGGGCATCAAAAGTCGGAAGGGAATCGGGATTGTTGATAATAAATAGTCCTTTAGCATGTACAAACTGCAAGAACTCGTTTGCCCTACCATCGTCCTCTGGATCCCCCCAGAGCTGCGAGTGGGCATTAATGTCACCGCCTATAATAATCCTTTCATCCCCAAGTTGATCCAGTATCTGATTCAGAGGGGCGAGGATCTCCTTTAGATCCTCTGTAAGTTGGCAATATACGCTCACCAGAACATATTTATTTCTACCTGTTCCAATTGTAGCACAGGCCACTCGTCTTGTACTTAAATTACTATGGTAAAAAATGGGTATCGTGGCATTCCTGGTCACAATTGCTGCAGATGGTGAAGGCTCATGAAGAAGAACAAAACTCTTCCTCAGACAGGCAATGGAACCCCTAAGGCAATAGGGCTCCTGTACCAGAGCAACATCCACCGTTTCCATGGTTTTACATAGTCCAGCCATAGCACTCATTGACCTCTGTAGTTTACTTGTAGGACTTTAATTTCGTTACCTTGTACCGTGTTTTGGCTATTGGCCATAGTCTATCTTGGTCATAATCATTTTCTTAATCCTTTGAATGGCTGGACAGCTCTTGTCACACGAGTTATGATGATAGTTACTTGCCCTCTCTCTTTTGCAATTGACACATTCTTTAATTGTATTTTTGTTTGGACATTCTTTATAAGTGTGGTCCTGACCACACTGACTACATACCCTTTTAGCCTCTGGGCATTCTTTCGCAAAGTGCCCGAGGCGACAGCACTTGAAATACTGAATAACTGACACGAAGTCATCCACTCCGCATCTTACCCATTGCAGGTTGACTTTTTTAAGTCTTTTAAATACATTCCAATATAATGGACTAGTTTCAATAACCCAATTTGTGTTGGGCTTATCCTTTCCACCAAGTGGGAATTTGATCGTTACTTCTTGTCTGTATTTGTCAATATCATTGTGTATATCTGTGATTCCTTCATTTTGATGGTAGAGGCAATCAATGATTTCCTCTTTAGTATATTCCTTGGGAACTCCATAGATTATCATTCGCGGTTTACGTTTAACAGGCTCCGACGTTTTCAATCCGTTATCTTCTATAACTTGTTTGAGCTTCACTTTTTCTTCTGCTGTAGCAACTTCGATGCAACACCCCCTCTCTTCAATTTCTGTACTGCTCGGATTCCTACCCCAATACTTTTGGGGTTGATCTTGTCTTTTAATTTCCGTTTAGTTTGCTCTGAATCATCACCTTGGTTCTGTGGTTCAACGAAGAGTACTTCTTTTGTTGCTGGTGGTCTCTTGTTTCCAGCAACTTGTGAGTAAAGCGGCCGTTGTATGGGTTGAACAATGTTCTCTATTTTATCACTGAGTTCTTTAAGTTGTGTTTGAAGATCATCCTTCTCCCCTCTTTGGAAAAGATCTATGATGTTTCCAGCAAGACCCATGATAACGTCATAATGCTCCCTCGTCCCCAGACGAGATCCACCGTTCTTGGTCATATATTTCCCAATCTCCCGCTGATATCTTTCAGCAAGCTGGATCCTGTCTCCTTCAGGCCCAAGATCCATTCCTTCCGCCTCGTCCCCAGACGAGCTCTCAACACTGTCATTATCCTCGGGCTTCGCACACTTGGACATCGTGATAGGCTTGAAAAAGGCTTTTGAATTACCTGCTTTTAGTTTCACTCTCGCAGAGTTACTCACAGGACGCACCTCGAAGGTAGCAGGCTTCCCAAGAGTCAAAATGTATGAACAACAGGTATGCGAAAGGCTCGAATAAACGCTCCAAAAAATCGCTGATTAACCTACGATACGCTGTAGAGTCAAAAGTGTGGGAACGCGTCCCAGTAGATAGGGACATTTTTTCATTTTTTTTTTTCATTTAATTGTCATTATTTCCCCTTACGGTGATCAGAACTTCCTTGTCCCGCTACCGCATAACAAGGATTGAATAACTTTATTCATACATGACTTAAAACTATACATTAAATTTTTAACAAACAGATAAAATAATATACCTAACCTTAAAGTTAATACAGACTGCTTGTCTAGCTTTGACAAGGGGACCGGAATCCTTTTGGTATATAGGTACAGAGATGCTTTCTGTGTTACCTTTACACTAATATCCTTCTAATGAAGGTCCTAAGGTCTTGTTTAAGATTACTATCTCTGATAAGATTATACAACTCTAGAGTTCGATTTCCAGTGTTTAGTTCATGTAGACTCAAGATTTCCGTTCTTTCTTTATCATATCTATAGCATTCAGTCACTAAATGGTCCATATCTTGCGTTAATTCGCCTCATTCATATGTTTCAGTTGTCCGTTTATGGATTTTCTTTAGATAGGCATAACAATTGCCATGTCCGGTGTACAATTGACTCATAGTATAGTCTATTGGTATCTATCTTAGTTTTGTCACTCGCTCTTCTACACTTGGCATAAGTCAAAATGTATGCCTTCCTTTGGTGGAATATGTCCACCTATCTTGCCAGTCAGCAATAGAATCGTTTCTGAGTAGTCTTTTGATTCCTGATAACGGGATTTTGTTATATGTTACCTCTGCTTTGTTCGCAGCCTCTTTAGCTAAGAGGTCTGCTCGCTCATTACCACTAATGCCTTTATGAGCTTTAATTCATCTAATTTTTATATTAGCATTACTTCTTCTTACTAATTGTTTAATTTCTAAGGCTGTGATGTTGGTGTCCGTGAATTGCATGATGGTATTCAGGGCCGATCTGCTATTTGTGTTTATGATAATAGATCCTTCAATTTGAGTTCTTACGACCCATTTCATTGCCCTCTTAATCGCATGAAGTTCAGCCTGATAAACCGAGCAAAGGTCATTTAACTTATATTGCTCGTTATACAACTCATTGTTATTCTGTATAACCGTAAAGGCAGCTCCTACACCACCGTCCACTTTCGAACCATCCGTATAAAGTTCAACAGATCCCCTCTAGCCATCTTCTGCAATCCTGATGGCTTCCCGCTCGTACGGCATGGGTAACATTGATGCAGTAGGTCTGAGTTCCATATCTGTCTCAGTGTACTCTGTTCTTGCTATTTGAATTTTTCGTCTGTTCCTACACATGTAGAGCATTGCTCTCTCTTTCACTATTAAGTCTATTGGTAATTCACCAGCTATTACCTGAAGAGTCTCGGTTGATGTTGTCTGATAGGCCCGTGTTATCCTTAGAAGCGCACACCTTTGTGCGCTATGAAGTTTTCTTTTGATAACTTCCTTGTTAGCCGATTTATACCAAGCCCCGGCGGCATAAGCAAGCCTGGGGATAAGTGCACCTTTATATATAATCTCAATGGCCTCTCTGTTGAGACCCCATGTAGACTTGGCCACTCGGGCCAGTGCATTGAACATGTTGATACAGCTGTTTCTGGTAGAGACTATATGCGGTAGCCATGAGAGCCTATTATCAAGAATTACTCTAAGGTACTTCAGTTGTTTTCCAACCATAATAGTCTCATCTCCCATGTTGATTGTAGGAGTACGTTTGTATAAGTCTGGTGTTCTACCTGTTGTGAAGATAATGGCTCTTGTCTTTTTGGCATTAAACGTCAACTTCAGTTTCTCCCCAATCTCTGTTACTTTCTTTAGAACTTGAGTTCCAATTCTCTCTATCTCTTTCCTTAAATTTGCCCCGTAGATTAGCATGGTATCATCTGCATATGCTAATTCTATGATATTAGATCCTTTGTCCAGCCTCAGGAATTGATCGTACACTAAGTTCCAAAATAAGGGACCTGAGTTAGATCCCTGTGGGCAACCATGACTTAGTACTCTAGTGATATTTGAATCCATTTTCCCATAAGAGACTTTCCTGTTGTGTAAGTAATCTTTTATAATGTAATCAAGATTTTCAGGGCACTGTGCTTCACGTAGGCTTTGAAGAATTAGGGGCCACCACGCGTGGTCAAAAGCCCCTTTTATGTCTAGACTGATTCCGCAACAATACTTCTTGTTAGATAGGAATTGTTCAATTGCATCGATTGCCTTACAGATGACATCATCAGTTGATCTATTCGGCATGAAGCCATACTGTTTTCCGCAGAGAAAATCACTTTTGATGATGTGAGCCATGACTCTTTGGCTTATTAGAAAGTCAAGAACTTTGCCAAGAACCGGTAATAAACTTATCGGCCTATAGCTTTTTGCCATCGACCTATCGATATCATTGCCTTTCGGGATAATAACTAGACTGGCCTCTGTCCAGATTGTAGGAAAGAGGCTGAACCGGAGGCAGTGGTTATAAAGTTGAACCATGTACTCTGGGTTTGTTTCCCAGACATTGTAAACAATCTCTGCTACGATGTTATCCGGTCCGGGTGCCTTGCCTGGTTTTAACCTTTTGATGGCATTTTCCACTTCCTCATACGTAAATAATGGGTCTGAGTTATTCACATACCGGTCCCTGCATCTTTCCCTTATGCGTCGTTGCTCTTGTGTATCTGTATTAGGATCATCTTGCGGGAAGAATGTGTCCATTAATTTGTTAATTGTTTCATTAATTCCATCAGTATACGTCTCACCATCTTGAATCGAAGTAAGGAAAGTGGGGGTTTTAAGTTTCCCCGCACAAGCCTTGTATATGAAGCCCCACGGCTTTACTGAACTCTCAGTACAAAATTGTCTCCATGACTGGAGTTTTTGCTGTTTAATTCTCTCCTTATACGTCTTGCAATGATTTAAGTACTCTCTTTTCTTTTCCCTCCGAGCTTCTTCACATCGGGTCCTTTGATACCTTCTTCTCTGTTGGTTGTTACGTCTTCTCAGTTCTGCAAGCTCCTTCGACCACCAGGGCACTGTCTTTTGACCTTTCTGTTTTTTCGGTATTGTTTGCTCACATGTATTTATTAGCATGTTCTGGAAGGAGGTGATAGTGTCCTCAACTTCCTTTTGGTTATTACAATCTTGTAGTCTTGCAGTGACCATGATGCTTTCCATTCTGTCCCTGAACTCTGTCCATTTAGCTTTGTTTGTAGCGTAATATGCACTCATTTCATTGGTCTCAGTCCAGTTATCTCTGCCCACCTCGAAAAAGATATAGCTGTGGTCACTCAGACTGGAAATCTGAGAAACATGCCAAGATTTTATTTTGTTTATGACTGGACCATTACAAATGGTCAGATCAATTCAGTTTTGCCCTATTGGGGCATCGAAGGTGGGCAGCGAATCTGGTAAGTTTAAGATAAAGAGGCTGTTTGCATTGGTGAATTCCAACATCTGTTCGGCTCTCTTGTCATTATCGGGATCTCCCCAAAGCTCCAAATGAGTGTTGAAGTCCCCACAGATAATAATGTGTTTATGAGAGAACCTGAGGACTAAATCAGTAAGTCTTTGTAGCATCGGATTTAAATCCATCATAATAGGACAATAGGCACTTATTAATAAATAATTTGATCGTCCATTTCCCACTTCCAAGAAGGTGATGTACTTGTCACTAACTTCA